GTGTGTGTGTGTGTGTGTGTGTGTGTGTGTGTGTGTGTGTGTGTTAAACGTTTGCAAATTTATTGGAAAAATAAAAAAACTAAGGAATCACATGTATATAAGTATTCACACCTTTTGCTATGCAGTTCTAAAGTGAACTCGGGRGCATCCTGTTTCCAATTATTACCCTTGATATTTTTACAGCTTCATCCACCTGTGGTTCATTCGGTTGATTGGATGTTTGGAAAGGCGCACATCTGCATGTCAGAGCACAAAACAAGCATGAAGTCAAAGCAGTTGTCTGTAGACCTGTGAGATAGGATTGTCTCAAAGCACAGATCTGGGGAAGGGTACAGAAAAATGTCTGCTGCTTTGAAGGTCCCACTGAGTACCGTGACCTCCATCATCTGTTTATGGAAGAACCAGGGCTCCTCCTAGAGCTGGCCAACTCTACAAATTGAGTGATCAGCCACTTCTTTAGCGAAAGGCACATGAAGAGACACCTGAAGGACTCTCAGAACATGAGAAAATTCTCTGATCTGATGAGACAAACYAATGCCAGGTGTCACTCATCARCAGGCCATAACCATCCCTTTAGTGAAGCACTGTAGTGGCAGCTTCATTATGTGGGCYTGTTTTTCAGGGGAAAGATGACCTCAGACTGGGGCAACAGTTTATCATTTAATAATAGGATAACAATCCAAAACACACAGACAAGAGTTCAAAGAAGTGATTTCGGGACAGCTCTCAGAATGTCCTTCAGTGGCCCAGCTGAGGCAAGACTAGAATCCGATTGAAAATCTCTGAAGGGATCTGAAAACGGTTGTTCACCGACTCTTCCCATCCAACCTGYTGGAGCTTGAGAGGTTCTGCACAGAGGAATCTGTGAAACTGCGCAGAGTGCGGTGTGCCAAGCTTGTAGCTTTATTCTCATGAAGACTTGAGAATGTAATCYCTGCCAAATGTGCATCAACAAAGTATTGATCTAAGGCTGGGAGAACTTGTGTACATTTGATTTCTTAGGGTATTTTTTAACAGATATGCAAACATTTCTTAAACTATTTTTTCATGTGATTATGGGATGTTCTGTGTAAAATAAAAACTCTTTTGGATTAAGGCTGTAACACAAAATGTAGAAAAAGTGAAGCGCTGTGAGCACACACCAAGATGCACTATTTGTTATGTTCACAAGTGTTCCTTTGTTTTGTTTTATACTGAATTCTTCCTCCTCTTTCTTTCCAGAATACGATGCTTTAGCTAAAGTGATCCAGCAGCACCCTGACAGACATGAAACCCTCAAGTCAGTTGGCTTTTGTTTCAAAATATCTAAACCTTAGCTTGGGCTTTTTTTGTGATAACATGCTCATTTTTCTTTTACCTACAGGCAACTGGAAGCACTTGACAAAGAACTCCAGCAACTTTCGCACATCAAGGAGAATGTGGATGCAAAGGTAAAAKCCAATCTATTCAATTTAAACCATCGTTTTTCTGTGTCCTTTTTTGTTTTTGACGCAATTTTTGCATTCTGCACAGTTGGAGTTGAGAAAGAAGCAGTTTCACGTTCTTCTTACGACCATTCAGGAGCTACAGCAGACACTAGAGAGTGAGTACTTTCCCTCAACACCAGTCAACTCAGACAGAAAATGTCAGATCTGCTCATTGTATCATTCTCTTTTCTAGTTGATGAGAAATCAGACAATGATGACCAAAGTCAGGAGAGTCCCATGGAGAACAGCGAATGAACTTTTAAAAAGGCCTGACTGAAACAGATGTAGCTTTGAAAATAWGAAGTTTGTTTTAGGGAGTCTTTTTGTATGTATTTTTGAATAAAATCAACTTCACTTCTGCTCGTCCTTGTAGCTCATTTTTTATGGTTTCCTAACCATTTTATTAAACCAAGATGCCAGGCTAATTATAAATAGCCTAATAAATACATATTTTGTTCATTTTTTTATTATTATTCAATTGTTACACTTTTTAATAGATATGTCTAGGTTAGCTTCAGTGGCATTTTCATTTGTTACATYAAATGACCACAAGAGGGAGCCAAAGCTTTATTTTATTTTTTGATTKATAACCAAAATCATTCCCTTTTTAATATTTTTTTTAATTGTGTGAACAATAAAGTTTAGAGGTAAAATTCTCTTCTGGACAGAGGTTGTTCCTGAGATCTGTTGGAGCCACACTTCATGTATGTGAGGGGAGGGGTGTCACATCACTGAGTGTTCCCATGACCACCTGCACCACTGATGGCTTCACGCTCCACAACTTCTGTACCACAAATAAAACTGATCAAATGGAGAGATTRAAAGTCTTCCAACTATTTTCTATTTATCCAATTTTTACAATAAAACCACATAAAATTCAAGTACTACTGTGTTTTTTTCTTATGAGCTCACATTTTAACYCATAAACCTGAGCGTAACCTCACACAACACGTGAAATATCAATATTTAAGAGTTGGTTACATCATATTTAAACATCAAAACTTGGAATGTCTTGTATTTAAAGGGGACCTATTATGCAAAATTCACTTTTTAAAGTTTTTTTACTCAACTTTGGGTATGTACTTCTTTAAAAAAAAGTCCTAGGACCAAAAAAATGCACTCAGGGGCATATTTACTGTAAGTAAATGTATTTTTAATGTATATTAACGACAAGTTTTATACTTCCATCATTTTGTGATGTCACAAGCCGTACGACAACCCACCAGAACCTGCTTTCAGCCCCTTATAGCAACCCTCGGGTGAGAATCCACCTCCAGTATAAAAAGCTGTCACAGTGTTGTTGTGCAATGCACAGCTCATTTCAGAACAAACCTCCAATAGAGCAATGGATAGGGTTAGGGCTGCAACTAACGATTATTTTAATAATCGATTAATCTGTTGATTATTTTTTTCGATTAATCGATTAAT